GGAAAATGATTTATCCATATGGCATGATAGCTTTACTTCTCAAGATTTATTGATTTATAATTGCAGTGTAAAGTTGAACACTTAAAATTAGAAAGATAAATGATTTAACACTTCCAAATCTAAGTATTTGTTTTTTCATTTTGTTATTTAAAAAATAAATAACTAACTTACAATGTAAGACCAAGGAATACAGCTGTGCGAACAATGGATAAATTTAGAGGAGAGTTATGTAATAAAATGTTATCAAATTATTTTTCTTTTCCTTCTTTCAAATTTAATTGGAATAGGACTTGGCAAAATGTTGACAGACCCTTAAAAAGCCCTAATCACCGTTACATTGATTTAAAATACTGCCAGGCAGCATATCTAACACCAGTTTTGAGACATAAGATGGGGGAGGCACCTGATCCCTTCTATTCATTCTGTCCCCTGGGAACCATGGGCTCCTTTATGCATGTTGTTCGGGAATGCCCAGCGGTTTAGGCATTATGGGTTAAGACTGATAGACTAAAGTGTCTTTGCCCTTGGAGCCTTTTTTACATTTATTAAATTATGACATCTTTTTTTTCATGAAGTAACATGGAAAACATGCCTTACCTCAATTAAGAAAGTCAAAGCACAGATGGAAAAGATGGAAAACACTCAATGACATGTCATGAAATCATTGGTGGCAAAGCTTTTTCAAGACTGCATGCTGCATACACTGGAAAAAGTATAACATTGCTCAAACTAAAAAAAAAATTATGTCGAGATATCACATCTAAAATATTTGACTTCACAGAATCTGATTTTAATCGCTTGTTACTTTGAACTAAATTAACATTTCTATAGAAACCAGTTAATTTAAATATAACCAGATTTAATTTTTCACATCTGAGAATTTTGGCAAGCCAACTAACCTAACAATCATGTTTTTGGATTGTTTGTGGAAGCCAGAGTACCTGAAGAAGAACCACACATGCAAGATCCTGGGCCGGGATTTGAACTCACAGCTTTCTTGCTGCAAAGGAGAAGTGCTACCCACTATGCCACTGAGCCACTCTGTCATGGTTTGGGACTTGGACTGGATCACTTGCTCTGACTGCATGCAAAGCGCAGTTCACATTTAACTCAAACAGAAAAAATTAACTGCAGGCCATGAATAAATATATACATATTGAGAGAAACCAAAAACTTTGTTTTGGGTCCTTTCTACGTGCATTTACTTCAGGTTAATTCAAACTCGATGTCTCAAAATCCAAAAGGAATTATTTAAATAATCATATCAATAATTTTATCTAGTTTAGTTTGAAAAGCATTAGTTTGAATGAACAGTTTTGTGTTACACTTTTTTCAGTGCATGGAACTATCATCTGCCCGTATCAACAGGGCATATCGACGGAAGATTACAGTTTGGGTACCTAAAGTTTATTATGAGCACAGCGGACTGAGATGCAGAACATTGTGGTAGGGGTGGGGGGGCGAGAGGGAGGCTGGGGGATAAACTAAATAATCGTGCACATCAAAGTGTCATTGTTTGAGTTGTAATTATAAATATTCTCAATTAAAATTTGGTAACAAAAAAAAAAGATTTTACTTTTCTCGAAAGCTTCTAATTTATCATTCAATTCAGTTTATTTATATAGCGCCAATTCACAACACATGTCATCTCAAGGCACTTTACAGTTCACAGTTCATCATCTGAATAGCATGACGATCTAGCCATCAAACTCAACTGGTATGACAGCACGAGAGATTAGGATCAGAGAAGCAGCAGTGTGAGCATGATGCCTCTGGAGGAAAAGAAATGTTTCACAGCTCAGGTGACAGAATCTGTCAACGCTACAACTATCATCTGTGTGCTCCATAAATCTAGGTTAAAAAAAAAAAAAAGCTAGTTCTTAACAGAAACCCAGTAGAGATCTGGTGTTAAATTTGCATACAAGCCATTTGTGTGACCAAAGGTGGAAGATGATTATTATTTAATAAGACAACAGCAGGGTTTCTGGCAAAAAAGTTGTGTGCACAAAAAACATATAATTTTCAGTTTTTCTTGCCAGAAACAAGTTATATTTGGAAAAACTCTAAAAATGCCACTTTTTGCTGACTTATAATTTTTTATCCAAACTGTTATTTTGGTAAATTTCATTCACAGCAATACAGCATCCCATACTGCCTTAAATCTCCATTTAGAAAACATAAAATTATCCATATCTATCCATCTCTACAGATACACATTGACAAATTAAAATCTTTTTTTTAGAACATTCACTTTTATAATTTTTTATTTACAATCTTGTTGGGCTTATTTATATCTCCATAGCTTCTGCTGGCCATTATGACAGGCTTAAATGTTATTTTAAGTCTTAATGAGTAGGTTATATTTTCCAATTTTAACAATCCCCTTACTTTTTGAACCCATAAGTCAAAGGAATGTGGTTCCAATTCCACCTGATTGTAATGCATTTCAGGGCTGCTGTAAAAAGGACATTTAACAGATATACTTTGGATCGTCCTCTCAAACCATTTGGTACTAAGAAAGGCAATAGTTACATCCTTTGGTATAACTTTGGAAGATATGGTTTATAGCCCTGTACACCTCATCCCAACAGTTTCAAAGTTTGGGGCATGACCAAAAAATGTGTTTATATATGGGGTCCGCTGAGCCACTGCTTCTCCAACACATGCTTGAAACTAGGATCCATCTTGGCATCTACGTCTAGGGTCCTGAAATACCTGCTAATAATTTTCCATTTAAGTTCCCTCGAGTTTGTTACTCGATGTGCCTCAGTCCAGACTCTCTCCCATGTTCCGAAATTATTTTGGAAGTCTCTCTGCCTCCCATCTTTGTTTTTTCCCAAGTTAATGTTCATTGACAGAAATATACTATATACATTTGCTATCCAATTTTTTATCCCCTCCCCCTTTCTGGAAATAGATTAGGAGGTTTTCTACTGGTGTGGGATTTGGTACTCTATTCCAGTCCCTATGTGCCAACAAAAAAGACAGCAATTGTAAATGTCTAAAGAAATCACTTTTCTGGAGATGAAAATGCCTTCATAACTCTTTAAATGACATAAGGTTGTTCCTGTCGATCAATTGATAAAGAAATGGAAGCCCCTGATCAGCCCATTTAGAAAACTTTTGTCTAAGAAGTCGGATATGAAGGATTTGATATGTCGACTTTGCATTTTTTTATTTAGATTTTACACATTAATTTCCCCACATAGACTCCATTATAGACAGATTTCTTTTAACCCAGGACCAAAATGTGTTTTTGTTTTTCTTTTTATTTCCATCTTGGTCCACGACATACAGTACAGATACTCAAAGGCAAAAGAAAAGAAAATTAATTTTTTTTTGTCCAGGTCTGGGACACAGTGAGGTAACAGACAAATAAATTATTCAGTTGTTTAAAATCACTTTCCAATAATCATATCAATAATACAAAAAAAAAAATGGTATCAAACACATGATGCAATAACTTCATTAACACATTCATATTTTTGCTCCCCTTCTATCCAGTCACTAAGGTGTTTTTGTTTTTTTGAGTCCTTGTCTGGAAAAAAAATGTCCCTTTAAGCACAGAAATGAAGAGCAAAGTTTCACTTCCAGGCATCGGTCATTCAGTCAAACATCATATATAAGCACCTTAATTAAAAACTGGGTAGTTATGCAACTTTTGCTTCCAATACAATTTTCATGATTACGTCTCAAATTAGTGGATCTGATTTACAATCATGGCCAAGGCAACAGGCATACGCAGTCAGGCACACGAGGCTACGACTCCAATAAGCTGTTAACTTAATTTATCACTTTACATTCAGATATACACATATTTTTTCTCTTAACTATGCCTTTCAGCTTAACAGGTTAAAAAGAAGGAAAAAAAAAACAACATGCCAATATGAAAAAGTCAGAGATTGTTTCCAAAGTGCAAAAACGTATTCCTTCAAGAGTTGGTGCGCATCCTGAAAAGAAAGTCGCCCACCAAAACTTTAGTCTAATAACAGTACGAGCCATTTTCATAGATTAATCCGCATGTTCCACCTCCCCTTAACACCCATCTGGATTGTGGCTACTTGTATGACAACATGGCTTAGTGCCAGAAGAGCGCATCACTGCGCACAACTTCAGGCATGTTTCCAAACACTGACAGATTCCTAAAGCTACAGGATTTATCCTCTTCCTTTATGAGCACTCATCACTTTATATCATAGTCCTGAAGTGAATGGGGGAGGCAGGAAAAGCCCCTGTTTGAGATAAAGTGACATCACATTATTTTGGTTTGTGGCCAGTGCAAATCAGCTTCTCCAGCCCCATTTTCTACTAATTTATCTTTTATTTAGTCTAACTTACTGACAAACAGCTGTGAATTTGTCGAAATTGCCACATATATTTTTATATCACATATCTGTCATTTGAACACCCTATGATACAAAAAAAAGGAATAGAACACAAAAGGTAATGCTCATACAGTATTGATCAAGGTTTATCACACCACTTACAAGCACATAAGGAACCAAACCCACATCTTTTTTCAAAAGGGTAGAAGGAAGTGGCTCTTGTACGAGTGGGGGAAATAAAATCCTGTAAACATGGCTCTTACTACATAACAATGATTCTTTAATGTCTTTTCTTATAATTGTAAAACACATACTCCACAGCGGACACGGCCACAGTCTGTACGACACATTTTTTATTTCCATCATGCCACTTTTCTTCTTCTTTAATTTCCAATAAAAACAGAACAAAACATGACCTCTTGGTACACGTTATGCCCTCCGTAAACCAAATCAACTGAAGCGCCACCAAAGTTACCGTCACCACTTCCACATTCAGTCATACCATCACCTGTCTCACTCACTGGGAAACAACTGTGGACTTATTTACCCCCAAAACTGCTGTAGTGAGATATTATTTAATTTAAAAAAAAATAACAGGCGCCACTTTGTGCCAATTATTCCCTTTTCTTCACTCTCTTGAAAAGACTCTCAAAAGAAAAAAACCTCTCTCTCTCAATAGGCTTGAAATCTTGCGTTCAGCTAAATGATTAATCAGCCGTTCTGTTACAAATAGAGGATTGAGGCTGGAAAATAAAACCCTTTGAAAGTTAGAAGAGGAGGAGAAAGCAGTCTGTCCACCATGAGGGGAAACCTTTCTGTTCAGCCTCCGTCTCTCAGGATCCAGGAAGCAGTTCGGTGACACGTCTACCCCCTCCTGGGGTCTTGTGCTCCAGTAGTTGAACACTGCTGGGGAGTTCCCTGACATCCAAAGGTGTGTTGGGTTTATTTTGTGTGTGTCGGGTATTTGCGTATAAAATGAGAGATGCAGAAGAGAAGGAAGGTCACAATATGGCACAGTGGAACCTGTGGGAACCAGTGGAACGTTCTGCTCTCCACTTCATCTTCTTTTTCTTCTTCTGGTTTCGCTCTGGGACCTGTTGTCTGGGAGGGGACAGAAAGGGGAGCATTTAGCAAATCTGTTATTAAGGAACCAATAATATCAAACTCTTAAGTCAATTTTAAGAACTGTAAAGAAATTAAGACATTCAGCTTTCCGGAACTTAAACAAGAACATATTTTTAAATATTGGGTGAAGACAGGTAACTCCCCCTCATGTTTTATTAGTTTTGATGATGAACACGTACCTTAGGTCATTTAAAAGTTGATATTTCAAAGCATGCAACAGTGTTAAAGGTTTGGAGTATTTATTAAAGATGCATCTGTTGCATGATCAAAGTCTTTTTAATACATGGATTTTTTTTTCTCTCAATGTACTTTTATTTATACATTAAGTTTGAAAAGCGGACAACTTTAATGCAAAGATTACAGGTTATTGTAGATGAACAGCAAGAGGAGGCAAGAACTTGTGCAATTTATAATGTGAAATTAATATATATATACAGTGGGGCAAAAAAGTATTTAGTCAGCCACCAATAGTGCAAGTTCTCCCACTTAAAAAGATGAGAGAGGCCGGTAATTTTGATCATAGATATACCTCAACTATGAGAGACAAAATGAGAAAAAAAAATCCAGAAAATCACATTGTCTGATTTTTAAAGAATTTATTTGCAAAATATGGTGGAAAATAAGTATTTGGTCAGTTACAAACAAGCAAGATTTCTGGCTCTCACAGACCTGTAACTTCTTCTGTAAGAGGCTCCTCTGTCCTCCACTCGTTACCTTCATTAATGGCACCTGTTAGAACCCGTTATCAGTATAAAAGACACCTGTCCACAACCTCAAACAGTAGTGATGGGCAAGTGAAGCCTCATGAAGCAATGAAGCTTTCCAACGCAAAGTGTTGAAAAAAGTTCATTACTCAATGCTTCATTCATCACTCACTAGTGACATCTGCTGGTGAAACTGTAACAGCCTTGTTACTCAGTTGGATCATACTTCCAAATATTAGGAAATGCAATATTGTCACAAAGTTTTCATCAAACTCATGTTTAGTAAGAGGAGAATCCTATTCAATTGTCATGTTTTAATGATTAAAATGATTTGTAGCCAATCTAATCCTTGACCATCTGTTAGGTTTTCTTTTATGTCATGGACTTATTAGACAATGAAGATATGTGTTACTTTAATGTATTGAGAACTGAGTGACTGTTGCTGCAGACTCTGTGTACTTTGAGCTTGAAACTTGCTTCCTTAAAGACAGAATTTGTTTAAAATCATCTCTTCCTAGGAGTTCTAGTTCTGATTCTTAATATTAAGTTACACATAGAGTTTGCCTCTTCTAATGGCTTTTAGTCTGGTTTTGATGTGTGATTCTGATGCATCTCCTGATTAAACAAAAGAAAATATAGAAATTTCTGGATTTTAGGTTTAATTGTTTTTATTTAGGAATAGGACTTTTTTCACAGTTTCAGGTTGTGATCTGTCATCTCATAATACTCCCACATATGAGAGGTTTTTCTCTTTTTTGACGGCTCCATTACAACCACTGCTGATGAAAACTGTTCTGCTGATACCAAACCACCTACTACAACCCACAAAGCAACAGGATTCATCACGCTTTTATTTTGAAAACCGACACGCAAAATGAAGCAGTCACGTGACCAATGCAATGCGAGGCCTCGTTTGTTGCCAGTCACGTGGTTTTCAACAAGACAACACAGGCCTCGAAGCGGGGCTTCATTGACACGCCCCCTTATTACTCGGTACAAGCCTCGAAGCCTGGCTTCAGATAGCCCACCACTATCAAACAGTCACACTCTAAACTCCACCATGGCCAAAACTAGAGAGCTGTCAAAAGACACCCGAAACAAAATTATAGACCTGCACCAGGCTGGGAAGATGGAAGATCGATGAATCGGCCGATTATTTTTTCGATTAATCGGAAAAAAAATATTTTTTATATTAACTTCTTTATTCCAAAATAAACATTTTAGACAGAACAAACAAGCACACATATACAGGTTGCTCATTAACTGTACTGGTGCAATATGAAAAATAAATGTTTGTGTTAAAACTACGCAAACTTACATGAGAAATGTAGCTGTACATCCACAAAATATAGGGTACTTTGTTTCATAAAGTGCAAAAAAAGACATTTTTGTTTTTAAAAGCCCCTAAGGGGTTCAAACAATAGGTCCACCCATTTCAAACAAATAAGTTTTTTTTAGATTAGAAGAGTTCTGCCTTTTAAGACAGGAAAGTATAACAGTTAAAGTTGCTACTTGAGAAAATACTGAACCATAGAGATAAAAAATAGCCCTGTGATTCAAATTATAAATTGTATTTGGAATAAAAATTAGAGAACTAGGGGTGCTAAAAAAAAACACATCCTCCAAAGACAGATATTTACATGGAAATGTGGCATATAATTAATTGACATATTACTGATCTTGCTGGATTTTATTCTGCTTTACTTCCATAAATTGCAGGATCTTCTTTACTTTATCTTTGCCAGAAGATTTAAACTTTAAAAGCCTTGCCCTCATAATTTGCAAGTTAATTTATTTATAAAGAAAATATAAACGCTGCTTAAGCTAATTCAAATGAAATTAAAAGTAAAATAAGTAGCCAACCTTATCACTGTCTGTAACCTACTAACAAGGTAAGGAAAGCATCAGATGAGCTACCTGAGAAACTAACGTTACGTTTCCCCACTTTAAAACGAAACAAACATGGTGGTTCCATGCCATGTTAATTTGTTTTGACAAAAGTTGCACGTTACGACTTTTTTCACTTTTTTCAGGCTATTTTAAGTATTGTGATCAATTTGCGCCGTCAATCCCGGCTCTGACTGCAGCGCTGAGAGGGACTCATGCGGGAGAACGGGGTTGGGATGGGGGAGGCGTAGGGTGGCCATTTCTATAGCACCAAAAAGGAGGACATTGTGCGGCATATCAATAAATTACTAAAAGAGGATGCTTGTGTAGCTGAATAGAACAAAATATTAAAGAAATGTAAAAAAGAATTGGTTCCCAGCATTTGTATTTATTTAATACATTGTGGTGTTTAAAAAGTGACCATTTTTTAACACGATTAATTTGCGCAGAACTGCTGCAATTGATCATAAAGCAGTTGTTTGGAAAAGAAGCTCGAGAAAGAGCTAGAGAATAGGACGATGCAAACTGCAAAAAGTGGCTGGAAAAGATGATTTCACCATGTTCTCTATCTATCCATATCTATATATCTATATATATATATCTATATATATATATATATATATATATATAGATATATATATATATATATATATATATATATAAACTTGAGTCATGGAACTGTGCTTACAGCTTCTTATTTCATGTAAACTAATAACTTGTGTACATGATACTTGTTGATGGCATTAAAATTATTTCTAATAGCATTAAAAGAGCATTAAATTAGAGTTCCTCATTCCTGTATAAAACCTGTGAACGCTTAATTTAATCTGACATATTAAAAAAATCCCCATCATCATCCAGCAGATGTTCAGTTTCTGCCCAAATATTTTCTTTCTGTTGTGGATTTTTGTAACAGGGATAACTAGGATCATACATAGTTTGTATGAACTCTGTTTATTCTCTGATTCCAAACTCATCATCTCTTCATCCATTCCTGCAATAAGAATTTTCTTTTAAAGTTGTGAGATTCACTCTAGAATCTCACAACTTCTTCCTGGTCTGTTGAAGCACCAATAGTCTGCATCCGATTATTTAATTAATTGCTCTTAGTTTTTGGGAATATATACAAACTATGCTCTAATTTCTAGATACCGATCTGTTTTTACTATAATTTAATTTGACAAACCGGGTCTTCTCTACATTCTTTTTTCTGTTTGGTGCGATTGCAATAGCGGGTCTTGATCTGGACGGACCGGAGGGGAGCAAAAAATAGCTCAGCTCCGTATTTTGACGGTGAAGGACGGAGAAGACGTACGTGGGCGGTGACGAGCGGAGGATGTGGAACAGCTCTCATTGATTTACATGACAGACAAGTACTCCGTACGTGAGCGGGGCGGAGCGCTGACGGAGTATGTGGAATCTGGGAGTAAAGGAGGACAAATACACGTCCGGCTGGGTGCAGCGCCGGACGCCGGACAGTGCAATGAAAATCCGGACTGTCCGCCCTAAAGCCGGACATCTGGCCACCCTAGGGAGGCGCCCCACGGCAGACTAGGAACGATGCATGCTTTCACGTAAGAGTCTCCAAAAGCCGCCAGTGACACCGTAAAAAGTCACCAGATTTGTCGCTAGTCGCTTTTTTGAAAAATAGTCGCTGGAGGGGTCTGAAAAGTCGCTGAGTTGGCAACACTGCACCTGCAGCGCTGGCTCGCTCTGTCGTATTTTTTCTTCTTCCCCCATTTCAGTCAAGTGGCAGTGATGACGGCGGCGGATGACGCATTAATCGCGCGACACAACTAATCGATGATGAAATTCGTTGCCAACGCTTTTAAAAGTCGATCTTTATCGATTTTATCGATTCGTTGTTGCAGCCCTAATATTATATATATATATATATATATATATATATATATATATATATATATATATATATACCCATGTAAACACCCTGTGCAATAACCCTGTATAATAATCCTGCTATGAAAATGAAAATTAAAAAAGCTGTCATATGTGAACTGAACGCACTGTATATACTGTATACATATATCCCATGCATCTTCTTTTTCTCTTTTTCACTATTCAAGCTGATGTAACAAGTACATTTCTCCACTGTGAGATCAATAAAGTCAATCAATCAATTACTTTGAGAAAAAACTAATGAAACACTACAAGGGTTTATTGTCTTTAGTAGTATGGAACAGCCTGTATAACTAGTCAACATCTGTTATTTTTTCTGAGGGCAAAAAGAGTCTCACAATTTGTGAGGGAAAGACAGCGGAACATTGCAGATGTCAAAATACTTGAACAATATTCATTAAGCTAAACCTGGATGCAAACCTGCTGTTTGAACTTTTTACTGAGTTGAGTTCCCCCCTCTGTGTTGAG